GATAGATGATGGATGGATGGATGGAAGGACAGATGTATACTGGATGAATGGGTGAGTGAATGGATGGATGGATGAACAGAGGCGTGCGTGAATAGCTGGATGGATGGATGATAGATGGGTGAATAGTGGATGGATGGATGGATGGATGGATGAACAGAGGTGTGGGTAAATGGATGAAAGAATGGATCAAGGATGGATAGATGATAGATGGATGGATGGATGGAAGGACCAATATATACCTGGGTGGGTGGATGGGTGAGTGGATGGATGGATGGATGGACAGAGGCATGGGTAAATGGATGAATGAATGGATTGAGGATGGATGGCTGAGAGATGAGTAGATGGGTGGATAGGTGGATGGATGAATGTAAGGAAGGAGGATGAAGGGAAGGAAGGAGATGGTTAGAGGGAGGATGGACGGATGATTGATGAACAAGTGGATGGGCAGGTAGACGAGCAGATGAGTGGGGGGATGTGTCTAGGTAGACAGACGGGATGGTGGGTAGATAATGGCCCACGTGGGTGGATGGGCAAGTGGATGGATGCCTAGATGGCGGGTGGATGGATGGACGGATGGCAGCATGGTGGCAGGTACCCAGGCTTTGGAGTTGCCAGGCTGAGGTTCCAGCCTCAGCCTTACTGGAGTGAGTCTCCCACGCTCACTCTTGGTGTCTGAGTAAAGGTACTGCCGCCCGCCGCAGTGAGGCCCCGTGAGGCCCACAGAGCTACATGTGCAGGGGCCTCGCCTGAGTTACTCTCCCGGCACCTCCTGTTCCTCCCGGGGTTGCCCCCGCCCGGCTGGTGAAGGCTCACATTTCCTGTCTCCCTCTGCTAGCCGACGAGGAGGACGAGGCCCACGAGGCCCCCAGCTGCCTGTGGCTGCCCCTGCGGACTCTGGATGGGCCGAGCCTGCCCGAGCCCGACCCCCTGGACCTCCGAGGAGCCTTCCCCGCCCCCACCTCCTCACCCTCCCCACCTGCCTCCCCGGCCTCGGCGCCCCCGGCAGCCGCGTTCCCGGGGCCTTTCCGGCCCTCCCCGCCTTCCTCTGCACTCCCCCAGCCCTCCGGGAGGCCGGTGGTGGCTGAGGCGTCCGAGTTCGAGCGGCGGCTGCTGGATTTCCATCGGCGGCAGGGTGGCCTGCTCTCCTCCTGGTCCCAGCAGCAGAGTGCACTGATGGCCCAGCAGAACCTGCTGCTGCGGCGGCTGGCCGAGCAGAGCCAGCGGCTAGCAGACGGCGTCGAGGCCCTCAACCGGACCCTCAAGAGGCTGGTGGAGGCCCGCCCCTCCCGGGGAGCCTCCCCCACAGTCCCAGACAGCACCCCTGCCGGCGGAGAGGCCCAGGGGCCCTCCAGAGGCTCCCAGAGCAGCCCCCAGGGCACCCACCCAGGCCTGGAGGTCTTCTCAGGGATGATTCTGAAGGTGGAGGAGGAGCTCTAGGGTCTGGGCCCCGGAGGTCACAGGCGGGGCAGAGATGCCAGGCCTCCTCCTAAGGGGGGCTGGGGGAGAGGTGGGCAGAGACGGGGCCTCGACGGAGCCTGAGAGGACACAGGCTGGCCAGCTGTGGTCGCCCCTTCTGTTGCTGCCGTTGTCTGTGGGGCTCTGTGACCTGCAAGCAAGGGCTTCCGGGAGCCCATCCACCGGGACCGACAGAGGTCTGCTCAGGGAGCACGCAGCTGGGGGGGCAGAGGGACGCTGGCAGAGAGCCCGGCGTCCACTCCACATCCTGCGCTGTAACCGGCCGGGTGAGTGGTGGAGGACAGAGCACGGCGTGTCTGTGCCGGCCGGCAGGCACAGCGGCAGGAAGAAGCATGCCGGGTGCGGCTCCCCCCGACTGGCGCCTCGGTCGTTGGGACCCTGGAATGTGGCTCTGCTGGGTGCCAAGAAGGCCCCCAGAGTGTGCCCTTCAGTGACTCCTGGAAGCCTCCTCCTTCGTGGCCATGTGACTCGGAGGGCTGAGCTCCTGCGGTCCTCTTGCTTCTGGCCGAGGGAACCACGTCCCGTGGGCCTGGAGTTGTCCCTCTCCAGCTTTGTCTCTGTGGTACGGTGTCTGTGTGCACATGTGTTACTCGGTCCTGTGTGTGGTGGGGTGTCATTTTGTACCTGTTGGTTTTTCTTCCAAAAAATATTTTTGTTATATAAGCATAAAATAACAAAAAAACATCGTAACCACGATGCTGCTGGTGAGTAAACGAGATGGAACCTGTTCGGTTCTCTTCCGTGGGCTGCGCCTCTACTTCCAGCCCCAGCAGGGAGCCCAGCGTGCTCCCCGGGTCTCAGGTCCTCCCCCATCCATCACCTCCTTTGGCCCTTGTGTGGTCCCTGGGGCCCAGCACCACTCCTGGCCCTGTTAGGCAGGGCACAAGCCACAGCCAGACAGCTGGCGGGGGTCGTGGGGGGCCAGCAGGAGAGGGCAAGTGGCCCCACCCCCCGGGGCCTCGCTGGTCTGGACCTCCTGCCCTCCTTCTGCTCCTCCTTGGCCTCCCCCTGACTCTTGTGGATAAAGCCTTTTCTAGAAGCAGGAGGCTGAAGCACTGACATGACCTGGACGGCCTGCTGTTCCCAGGGCTCCCAGGGAAGCCCAGCGGCATAGAAAGCCAAGACCTTTGTCACCGGCCCAGTGGGAGGGACTTTTCCTGGGTTTCAGTTTTTACCATAGGGCCAGCACGTCAGTATGTGGCATGTGACACACCAGCATGTCAGTAAATTTTGTCTAAAAGAGAAAGCCCAAACCCTTTAGCCACACATCCAGCTGCCCTGCCGTGTGGCCCCGCACCCTTCTGACCTCCTCTCCCTCCGTGGTCCAGAGGACATCATTTTTTCTCCATGGTGGACTTTACTCAGATGGCCCCTCCTGGGAAGCCTGCCTTCTACCCTACAAATCTCGGATCCATCTCAGTGCCATCTCTGAGAAGTCTTTGTAAATCTTCATTCCAGGTGGAAGAGATGGACCCTTCTTGTTCACTAAAAGATGCCCCCTGTGGTTTATGTTCACCTCCCTATTGGCAGTGAATGCTACTTCTTGTGTTGTAGGCTAACCCTGGTCAACCCCTAATGTAGTCCCAACTGAGCCCTAACCCTGGTCACACGCTGAGCCCTGACCCTGGTCACTCACTGAGCCCTGACCCTGATCACACTCTGAGCCCTGATCCTGGTCACACGCTGACCCCTGATCCTGGTCATACTCTGACCCCTGACCCTGATCACACTCTCAGCCCTGACCCTGGTCACACTCTGATCCCTGACCCTGGTCACACTCTCAGCCCGGATCCTGGTCACACACTGAGCCCTGACACTGGTCACATGCTGAGACTTGGTCCTGGTCACATGCTGAGCCCTGATCCTGGTCACACACTGAGCCCTGACCCTGGTTACGCTCTGAGCTCTGATCCTGATCCCTGACCTGGTCAGTCCCATAATACGTATCAAGAGCCTTCTCTGGCCGGGATCATGTACTAAGTGCTGAGGATACAGAAGCGACCAAGGCAGACAAGAGGCCTCTCCTCTCGGAGCTCATGGTCTGCTGCAGAAATCAATACTGAGCAAGTAAATACATATTTGGTGAGTGTTATTCTGGGTATCAGTTAAAACTAGTTAGATGTATTTGACAGAAATCCCAGAATGGTGTGTTTTAGAGGAGATAGACTTTATGGCTCTTACATAAAAGAAATCTGGAGAGTGGTAATCCAGAGCCAGCAAGGTGGCTCCACAGTCCTCAGAGACCCAGGCGGCTTTCAGCTCCTTACTCCATCATGGTGCTCATGGTCCAAAACAGCTGCGAGACTCCTGCCATTGCGCTCATGTTCCAAGCAGCAGGATGGAGGGAAGGGACTAAGAAGAGCACACCCCCTCTCTTCAGGGGCTCCTCTGCCTGCATCTCATCCCATCGGCTGGCAGTGAGTCAGGTGCTCACACTGAGTTGCAGTAGAAGCGGGGAAGTATCTTTAGAGCTTTAGCGCCAAATGGAGGTCCTGTTACTGGAGGGAGGGAGGTGCTGAGCAGCCCCCCGTGGAGCCAACAGCCAGGACCAGCCGTGCTGAGGGCTGCGACGGGTCCCTGAGGAAGCCCAGGGGCAGAGGCCTTCAGGACAGCTCGGCAGACGTCAGGGAGGCCGGCAGAGCAGGCTGGGTGGAGAGGAGGGGCCCGCAGGGTCCGGGCAGCGGGGTCAGGGCAAGGTTGGGGATAAACGACCCCACTCCTGCTTTGGGGCTGAGGAGCCGCGGCCTGAGAGGTGGCGTGGCTGCTGAGAGGCAGAGGGGTGCGTCCTGGTCTGTCTGCCTCCACAGCCCAGTCTGCCCTTTGCCCTCTGAGGCCGGAGCCCTGTGCTGCCAGATGCAGAGGGCCTGCAGGGGTGTGACTGGGACGGGGGACCCGTGCGTCAGGCCAGTGGTCTGGGGTGCGTGGAGTAGCATAGGCCCCACGCAGGGAGAGCAGAGGCCCCGTCTGGCCTCTGGGGCGGGGCATTCATGCACAGAAGGGCAACCGAAGTCAGTCCGGAATGCTGCCCTGGGACCTGGGGCTCTGGACGCTCCTTCTCCTGGAATGGGGTAGCGTGGCCAGAAGATCCGTTGGGAAGGAGCCTGCAGTCTTGGTTTAAACAAGAGCTGGTCAGAATCAGAGCTTTTGAGGAAGGAAAGTTCTTAGCACGTGAGGTGGAGGCAGCGGGGAAGACATCTGAGCATCCTGGGATGGGACTCCAGCTGAAGTCAGACCAGAGCCGTCAACCTCAGATCTGCACGTCTCTACTGTCACCCAGGCAGCCCAGGTTCGGAACCGGAGTGACCAGGAGGATGGTGGGGCAGAAGAGGGCTGCTGGGGGGGTGGTGAGGCCAGGGGTGGCGTCCTGGGCGAGGCCCTGGGCCCAGCCTGAGGTGCTCCGGAGCAAGCAGGTGAGCAGGCGCTCGCAGCACGGGGCCACTGGGGCCGTGCGTGCTGACCTGCCCTGGGACTCAGGCCTGAGCAGGGAAGGGGGCACAGGTCAGCACTCAGAGGACCCCACATGGGCGCACGGGGAGAAAAGGAGTAGTCGGGGAAGGAGGAGAGCCACGAAGGCTGCAGAGACAGATGCCGGGGGAGGAGGAAAGCAGCATGCTGGGGACGCTGAAAGGGTCCTGATTTGGGGCTTCTCTTTGGCGTCAGTGACGATGGCAGGGAACGTTTCTATGGCATTCCTTGGCTTGACTGCAACGCCTTCTATGGCCTTCCGAGGCATGTTCCAGAAGAGACAGGCTGGAGAAAGGCTGGGATGGCTTCCATTAGAGCCAGAAGAGAGCACAGGTCACCTCGCCACACCCCTCAATGGTTTGGTTTACCAAAGGTGTGCCTGGGTGGCATTGGGGGCGCAGGGTGATGTCCACGGTCCTGGTGGAAAGCCAGGGGCAGCCTTGAGCCCGGTTTCAGAATGCGAAGCTCATGCCCTTTCCCCTCACTGGCTGCATTACCAGGTGAGTGAACCTCCTCCATCTGACTCAAAATGAGCAGGACCCGGTCCCCGCCCTGGGGGAGCAGTAGGAAACGGGGGAAGGGGGCAGATCTGCTCTTGGGGGATTGTGGGCTAGGCAGCCCAGTGGTCTCCCGCTACCAAACAGCTTAACGTGAAAAAGCCCCTGATTTTAAATGCTTTCCTGGCTTGCAGAGAATAAGCAAAACAACCAGTGTCGTCTCCTCACCACCACCTCACCCCTGCCGCCCCAAGCGGAAGTGCTCGAGTGGGAAGCAGATGAAAGGCTGGCCTGCAGACCCTGCATCCCGGCAGAAGGTCCTTTCTGGAGGGAAGGGTCCAGGCAGAATAAGAATAAGAATTATTCTTATAATTACCCACAGAATAAGAAGAACCATGAGAACCCACAGTCAGAGGCTGTGGGTCTGTCATGGGACGAGCCACCAAATGAAATAAATAACAAAATAGAAATAACAGAAACCGAAGTAACAAAACAATACCTTTAGGCCACGTTATGGGCTGAATTATGTCCCCCTAAAATTCAGATGTTGAAGTCCCCCAGGACCTCAGGATTGACTGTGTTTGGAGCTGGGGTGTTTACAGAGGTGATTAAGGGACATGAGGTCACTAGAGAGGCCCTGACCCAGTCTGACTGGGGTCTTTATGAGGAGATGAGGACACAGACACAGGGACGACCACGTGAGGACACGGGAGAGACGGCCGTCTACACGCCAGGGAGAGAGGCCTCAGGGGAACCAGCCCTGCCGACGCCTGGGTCTCTGACTTCCAGCCTCTTGAACTGTGAGAAGATAGATGCCTGTGGTTTAAGCTGCCCAGTCTTTGTTACGGCAGCCCTGGCCGATTAGTACAGGACCCAGTGGACTTCAGCTGTTCAGATTCGTCAGACACACAAGATAGTTTCTAAGAAACATTTTTAAAATAAGATGCAATCACAAAAGTGAGCAATAATAAGAGATTATCAACAGTGAGCAAGTGTGTCTGGAAACGGCCAACTATAACCTGTAGAAATGAGCTCAATGGGTGGGTCGAGCAACATATTTGGACACAGATGAAGTG